CAGTGTTTTTGTGTCTTTGGGTAGATACCTAGGAGTGGGATTTCTGGGTCGTAGAAACTGCTGGGTTTTTAAAGCTGTTCAACTCATTCAGTTTGGTTTCTAGTAGAACATCACCACTTTAAAGTTTTCACACACATCCCGAAATGCCAAAATCAGTGGCTATTTTTTAGTCTTTGTCTTCTTTCTTGTAATTACTTCTTTGGCTTCCTGACATTTTGCTCAATTTTCCCCTCCTTTTCACCTTTGTAAATATCTCCCTCAGTCTACCCTTTGAATTTGGTTGGTTCTCTCTAGAAGTTAATTCTTTGGTTATTTTCTAATTATCCTGTGTTCTTCCTAATCTCATCTTATAGCCTTGACTACTAACCCTAGAGGGCATTTCATTTCTCTCAAATATATTTAGCTCCTTTTTGCATATATGCATTTTTTATTTTTAAAAGGTTTATTTTTATTTATATGCATACAAGAACTGGGGTGTAGTCCAGAGGTACATTGGGGGTAGTGAGAGGATTCACCAGAGACAGAGTGAGAAGCAGAATGGGTGGATCTACTGAAACACTGCTGAGGAGGCAGCAGGTGAGACAGGTTTGCTGCATGCCGGGGTTCCAACTCATGCTCCACAGTGGTGATAGCTGCATAGTGTTGAGAATTTAACCCTTATCCCATCAGGGAGGCCCCTATCTGCTCTTAGTTTAACTTCTGCCTTATACTTTGGGCTTTTGTGGACTAGTTATCTTCAGGTTATGTTGTTTCAGCACCTTTTCATTTATATTCCACTACCAGGTTTTCCCACATGTATACCTTTGTATTGTGACATGGTATCTAGAAATTCTACTCCAAACTTTCCGTATCTGATGTTCATTTATGAATAGTCTCCCTTCAGGGTACATATTGGAATAGTCTACTAGTATTAGCTATTCTGTATATAGAAATACATGTGCAGAATATATATGTTGAAATATAATTGAGTTTTGAACATATTTTATCTACCTAGTTTTTAATGAAAAGGAAATTAGTTTTACTGAATATAATTTATTCTTAACAATTGATCTTTTTGGTCAGTCTTAACTCCTCTTAGCACGTAGTTTTATAATATGTATATTATCCAAGACTTTGTAATTAGACCTGTAATTAACATCATTTTTCTGTTTTGGAAGATCAAAGCCATCGGCCAAACAGAATTGAATGCAAGCAACCCAGAAGAAGTGTTACAGCTGGCAGCGCAGAGAAGGAAGAAAAAGTTTCTACAGGCAATGGCAAAACTTTACTTTTAAGTAGCTTTATTTTTTAAACAATGGGTTGGAAGTACACAGTATTAAAAGATTAAGTTTATATAATACATATGTACACATTTAGTGGTGTATTTTTTTCCAGGGAAAATATTAAAACATTAGTTCATTAACAAAAACTAAACAGAAGAAAATATAATAGCTTAATTTAATTCCTTCTGAAGAAATAGGCATATGTTAATAAACTAGCAATCTAGAATGTTTTCTAATTACCCCCATTTTTGAGGCTAGAATTCATTAAGAACACTAAAATATTTATGTAGACATAATAACTAGTCTATGTACAGCAAATTCTTATGTTAAGTTTTTGTTTTAATAAATAGATTTCTAGGAGTCAGTATACATTTAATACACTTCTGCCTTAAGAAAATAGAAGTTTAGGTCAAGTGTTAAGCCTAATCACTTTGACACTGTCCTTTAATAATGTAGGAATTTGAAAAGGACCTTAACTGTTTTTACAAAATATAAATAAAGTCTTAATCACACTAAATTAAAAATTCTTAGGGCTATCTTAGAGTAATAAAGTGACTTTTTCATATAAATAGTTTGAAAGGGTACTTAAGTTTGACACCCAAATTGTGGTATACAAAAAAGGCTTATTATAAAGCAACTTTTTATGTCATAGGAGCCACAGCATTTATCTTGTTTATTTCTTTGGTATTCCCACTGTTTAGAGCACAGTTTAAACACCATGTTCATCTAAAGCATTACTGGTAAAAAATGTTATGGCAAGGCAGATAAACTAGTTAAAAGACAGATTAAAAGTTCATCCTTTGTAAAAATTCAAGTTTTATAATAGCTTCTACAACAGCTGTAGATAAATTAGTCACCTTATTACAAAATCAAATCTTTGTAAACAAGTTTCAATTTCATTTTCCAGAACCAAATTGCACTAGTCAAGTACTATGCCATTTAATGTTCCCTTTAACGTAGCACTTTAGTCCAAACCTCCAATACTTAATGTCGTTTATCAAGGTTAAATATAGTAACACTGGATCTCCTTCCCCCGTTTTTGTTTTTGCTATGGCATAAATTAAGGCTTATGTCCCATCACTGTGGGAATGAAGTCATATTTGTAAACAAGTCCTGCTGTTTCTTTGAACAGCTAACATAGGAATACCTTCCTTAATGCAAACTTTAAATGGATTATCAATTGAATGGTAGTGAAACTTCTGAATTGTCTAGGACAGTCATAGCACTATTTTCCTGTAAAGCTTCAGTACTTAAGTGAAATTCTGTCCAATACTTAGTTAATTCCAGTTTGTTGTTTAGATAGCTTTAGTGCTTTCCTGGTGGTTTCTCAGTGCTCTTCGGTGGTGTCATAATGCCTCCATTGCACACTGGTGACAACTGTCCCCCCTGTCTGAAGGTATTTACATAATTTACTTCATCCTGTTCATGTGAAGAAACCAGAGATTAGCAGCTATAACAAAGGCAAATTAGACTTCTGGGTATTAATTTGAGACAATTTAGTTCCAAAATTGTCTTTATTGTATCTCTTTATTCTTTAGCTTTTTTGTAACTGACTAGTCACATTCTAGAGGCTCAACAATTTGACCTGTCTTAAGACATTTCATAAATCTCACTTTGACTTTGGTGTGTCCACTAGAACTTTCTCCCATTATCATCGCATAACTACTTAAAATATTACTATATAATTAGGTTCTGTGACTAAATACATTGTAAGACCAAAAAGCTTACCAGCATAGCCAGATAATTTGTATGTGTCTGGATATTGTGTCTGTCTTCCATAGGAATCTTCTTAAAAATCTTCAGCTTCACGGGACTAGTATTCTTTACTACACGTACAAAAGGATCCATCCATTCTACACATTCTGAAATGTTGTCCCACTCTAAACCTAGAATAGAGAGAAGTTAGAAGACTGTGAAGTATATTTAAATGCTTAAAACTACACCCAGTTGGTATATGTTGAGGGGTGAAAATCCATTTAGAAGGATAAATAAATAAAAAAATAAAATCTGCACATACTGCTTTTATTTAATACATGCTTTTAAACAGAACTACAGCTTGATCACCTAGAAAGTGATCATTAAAATTCAAGATACAAAGCTGATAATGTAAATACTATAAAACAACTGAACACAATTGACATTTATAAGCCCCAAATCCCACATTAGCCCTAACTACAAAAACTCTTAATTTCAAAATAAAGACTTCAATTAGACATTTCACCAAGATAGTCTGCTGGGTTACAAGACAAGCCTTAAAAGCCAGAAAAGTAAATGAAATTTTACAGAGTACACTTTGGCCACAACACAAATAATAAAAAAAAATAAGTATTTTAAAAGTAACTTTTTAAGATAACCGATGGGTAAAAATTTCAAATTAGAAATAAACAATGAAAATTAAAACAGAAAAATGAAGGTTACGTGTATCTAATATATTATGCTCCTGCTTCCAGTTTCCTAACTAGTGCCCTCTACATATGAAATTAGTCAGCTAGTCTAAATAGCTGTAATCACGCTGACTCTTAAAATGGATGTAACTGCCACTTCACACTGTGCTTGGATGTATAATGAGAATTAGTACTTCTAAAAGGAAGGAAAGTGGATTGCTAAATTTTCTTCTGTTGAAGCTTTAAGTTCCTGTTTTGAAGTAGGACACTAAAGTTCATAGATTATAATCCTTTTAAAAGTTGTGAACAAGAAGATAGTGCTTACCTGAGGCTTTCTTAACCACTTCAACAGAAGTAAAATGGCACAAGGCAGCAGCAGCTAGTATTCTGTACTGGAACTCTAATGAATCGATGGCTAAAATACATAAATCTAGAAGCTAACAAAGGAAAAAGCAAAAGTTATTTATAAGGATGACTACTACATGTCTTTAGTAAGTAAGTAAAAGTCAGTTAACATGTTTTACAAAGTTTACGGTACAGACCATCTGCCAGGAATTGCTAAAACTACATGGAACCAAAGATATATAAGCCCAGTACCCCAAAGAAAAATAATCAAATTTTGGGATTGTAAGTTCAGAAAGCAAACAGGTAAAGAATTACTGTGACATAGGGTAATGTGTACTAGTGGGAGGGCACCTAACTTAAAATGGTAGACAAAGAAAACTTCTGATGTTTTTGAGTTTTTAGAAGACAAAATAGAGTAAAGGTAAAGACTACAGCTTTGCAAAGATAAATGAAAAAGTACTAACTTTTTCTTGGAACTCAAGTGAAAATAAGCAGAGAGAAACTTCATTTTTGAAAAATAAGGGAGCAGGGAAGGCATAGCGTGTATTACATCACAGCCATCTTTAAGATGTCAGAACTTTATTTTCTAAGCTGATTACTGAAATTACTGGGAGACTTTAAATAAGGGAAGCTACATTATCAGAATGGTCCCTCCCTCTATCATGATGCAGACAAACAAAAGTGGGCATATTTCAAAAAATATTAGTTAAGAAGCACTTTCGGTTGGTCAACAAAGAACTGAAAAGATGCAATGGAATGACACAGAAGGGAAACATTTAGTAGTAATATGTGTCCAGTAAATAAAACTTAAATTATGTTTGCCCTCATTGGTCTAGAAGAAACAGGAGAGGAGCTGAAATGAACTGTTGCTATTATATACTTCTCATCTTATCAAAGATTGGCCTTAATTCTTTAAAGGGATCTATATAGCTGTCTGTGTTAATCTAGGAGACTGGGAACTCTGATAAAAAATAGCCTTCATTAGAAAGTTTAATAAAATGAATTCATTGCAATATATTTATAATTATATATATATAAAATATATAGTAAATACAGTATTCTGGTTCTTTTAGTGTCCATAATACGCTTACTAGATTTAAGTAGACAAGTCCCAATCTAGATTGCAGTGCCCAAAGTACAGTTCCCTCAATTCCATGTGTAATAGTCTCACTTCCTACATTGAATAAGACTACAGATCTCCACTTAGACTTGAAAGTAGGTATAGCAGCCTTGTGATAGCAGTGAAGAGCAGGTAGGAGAAACTGGTAAACTCATTTTGTTGAGATTTATAAGCTGACTCAGGAAGTTTCAGTTTGTTCTTAAATTCTTTAAAAAAAAAATACTGTAGCTAAGTAAGGTGATCAAATTTCAGTATGTAAACTAGCTGCCCTTCTATTCAAATTTGAGACTAAGAATAATTTCATGACATTATAAAGCCTAAAAGCAACCAGTTGAATAATACCTTTTCCCATTTTATATTGAAAAAATTTAACTTTTGGACTTCTAAAGGATCAAAAGTACTTAAAATGGCTTTAAGCTCCAAGTTTAAAAGTTGTTTTCTGAAATTATGAAATAGTGTAATACTGGGGACAGAATTTTGTGCCTCAAAAATTTTGTTTTTGCCAAGAAGTGAATTTAGTATGTTGTCATCTCACTGGATAGCTTATTTAAGATCATATGTACACAAAACAAAGTTGTAATTAACAGTAACATTAGTATGTATTCAATAAGAATGTTCATACCTGAGCTATTTGAATGAACTTTTCCTGAGAATACTGAGGTAGGAGAACTTTAGGAGCATCTTTAAGAGCATCAACTTGGAGGAAGAGATTTAGCCAGGAGATGATTGTTACAGGGCAAAGTTCCCATTTTAAAGCCTGTTAATAAAGATAATATGCCTGTTAATAAATGGAGGTTTGTATAAATCACATTATATAGGTACTCTTAAAAAAATTATTTATGCATTCAAGAACTGGGGTATAAAAGCCAGAGGTATGGGGGTGGTGAGAGGATTCACCAGAGACAGAGTGGGGAGACACACTACTGAGAGGAACAGTGGGTAGGTCAGGTGAGGTCTGCTATGCTATGTGGGTCACTGCCCTGGCCTGGCATCAAATTTGTGCTACAGTGGCGCAGGTAACATCATATGCTGTGCTTTAAACCCTCATGCCACCAAGGAGACCCCTATATTGCTGATTTTTTTTTTAAAGATTTATTTGTACATACAGAACTAGGGTACAGGCCAGAGGCTCAGGGGTGGCGAGAGGCTTCACCAGAGACAGAGTGGGGAGCAGAACAGGCAGATGGACCAAGTACACTGCTGAGGGGAGCAGCGGGCGGGTCAGGAGAGGTCTGCTGTGCCATGTGGTCACCTCAGGGGCAGGAGGGGATTGAACTCATGTGGAAATGGCTTTATTTTCTTAGTGCTGTGCTTTAACCCACTGTGCCACCAGGGAGGGCCTATAAGCTGATTTTTTTTTTTTTAATAACAGTTTATTTTACATTTTTTTCCCCATCTCAATTGCAGTCCCTGTGGGTTTCCCATCACCAAGTCACCCGTGTGCCATAATCCCGTGCACTTCCCTCCCCAACCCCCTGATTTTGATCCCATTCCCCACTCCACCCACAAAATGTCTCTGATATATGGCTGTTCATTATTCTTGTTATTTTCTCGCCTGGTCCATTATACTCCTGCTATGAGTGAAACCATCCGGCATTTTTCTTTCCCTTTCTGGCTCATCTCACTAAGCATGATCTTTTCCAGCTCCATCCAAGTTGCTGCAAAAGACATGTGTTTCTCTCTCTCTCTCTCTCTTTTGTTTTTTTTTTTTTTAAAAAGATTTATTTATTTGTGCATACAGACCTGGGGTACAGGCCAGAGGCTCAGGGGTGGTGAGAGACTTCACTAGAGACAGAGTGGGGAACAGAACAGGCAGATTGATGAAGTACACTGCTGAGGGGAGCAGGGGCGGGTCAGGAGAGGTCTGCCGCGCCATGTGGTCACCTCCAGGGCAGGTGGGAATCGAACTCATGCGGAAGTGGCTTTAGCTTCTCAGTGCTGTGCTTTAACTCGCTGCGCCACCAGGGAGGGCCCATGTTTCTCTTTTTTGGTTGCTGAGTAATATTCCATTGTATATATGTACCACATCTTTTTTATCCAGTTATCTACTTTTGGGCATTTGGGCTGCTTCCATGTTTTTCCAATTGTAAATAAAGCAGCAATAAACATGGGGGTGCAGGTATCTTTTTCAATCAGTGTTTTTGTGTCTTTTGGGTAGATACCTAGGAGTGGGACTGCTGGGTGGTACGGAAGCTCCATGTTTAGCAGTTTGAGGAACCTCCAAACAGTTTTCCATAGTGGTTGTATTAGTTTGCATTCCCACCATATAGCTGATTTCTTAATGAGTCATTTAGGAAACTACTTCTGTAGGTTTTTTTCTTCTAGGGATTTATTATTATGGCTTCTTTCATTTTACTAAAATTTAACCATCTAAAACTGCTTGTGTTTTAGTCATTGATATGGAACCATTATTCTAATAGTTTTTATTTACAGAGTCCATTTTAGCCTGCTTTCCATTCCTGCTTTTCTATTTTCTTTTCTCTCTCTCTCTTGGTTTCCCAAATCTGTGTATTACTTTACTGAAACTGCCCTTTTAATTATATTCAGTGATGTCACAGTTGATTTTATTCATATCTTCCAAGAATTAATTCTATATGTTTTCTCTTTCTGTCATCTCTGGCTTTTGGTCAAGAGGTAAACATTAAAAGACAAATCATAATTTATGATATATTTCCCTTTATTGAAGCCCTGTTTTTCTGGTTCTATAAGAATTCTAAGTTAGGAGAGAAAAGAAATTTAATGCCTGTAGGACTGCCCAGATAATTCCATCTTTCCTTTTTATCATCATATTGTAGTCAGCTATACTTAGACTGACTGAATCTGGATAATTTCATTATTAGAACAAAATCAACAGCCCAACAGGACTGCAGTCCAATAAAGCTGTCAATCTTAATATTGGTTGTAAATTTTTGTTTATAAGCAGCTTACAGTTTATATACATATAAGTATATATATATATATAGCTTATAGTTCATAAATGAAAGATATTTGTTGTATTTTCTTATGTGTCCTATTTATAAATCCATGGTGTCCAAATTTAGTAATACTTTGTAATAGCTCAACACTGACTGCTAATCAAAGCCTGATTAAACTCCTTTATATTTCTCTCCTGCAGAAAAGGGGCATTAAAATACCTGCTGAAAGAGAAAATCAGAATTATGATTTGAGAATCTTTGTTGGAATTCATTTCTTTGCATGTTCTATGTTAAACTAGTATTTTGACAGTTTTCTTAATTACATTTAAATTAAAATATTCTCAGGCCTCACTGGTGGTGCAGGGGTTAACTCAGTGTTATCAAACTGTCACCAGCCACTGCTGAGGAGAGTTTGATCCCAGGGGGGAAGTAACCCACATGGTGCAGCAGGCCTCTCCTGTCAAGCTCACTGCTCCCCACCTCAGAACTGTATTTTAGTAGATCCACCTGTCCTGCTCCATACTCTACCTGGTGAATCCTCTTACCCCTCCTCACCTCTGTTCTACACCCCAGTTCTTGTATGCATAAATTAAAAAAAAAATCTTTTAAAAAATATATATTCTCAATATAGGAAAGTTGAAATGTTACAGTAAAGTCAAATTTGTTACTTCCCCTCCTGATTATATTATTGTCAATCTTCTGATGCACTAACCTGATACTAAAAACTTAATTTTGACTATACCGTAATCATTGAGATTCAATAATAACTTCTATGGTACCAAGTTGCAACTAGAAATAATAAAGATATCATTATTACCTTTAATATCATGAGTTCCATCCTTAAGATGTCCTCTTCACTGCAAGCACCATCAGTAACATAAGCAAACTCTTGAAGCTTAGGAGCATAGATTTCCTTTAAAATGTATTTTTGAAAAAATATTAAAACTCAACACAAGAATTATATATAAACCACATACAGCTTAAAGTGATTATATACTGTAGTAAAATAATTCTGTGATAGCTGGAGCAACTTTACATTTTCTGGCCTAAGTATCTAAATTAGCTAGCTATTGTGATTGAGACTTCATAGAATTGATACTGACTTTAAGTTAATAAACTGTATGTTAACATGTCAGTTTAGTTTAAAAAACACTTTGGATCACGATTTTCAGACTTAGAACAATACCTGAAATACTAATTTATCTACCAGATATGGCAGAATTTGGAGTTAGTCCTTACAGTTTAAAAGACAAATGTACATGAAAAAATACACTGAAGGAAGTTAATGCACAATTCAGTCCCTCTCCTATCTTCAAACAGTATAGGCTTCTAAAATGTTAGATGAAGGTACTGATGATACCCATAATATATTGTTTGATTTTAAACATGATAGTATAAAGGAAAATATCAGTCAGCAAAGGAGTTACCTTCTATCCTGGCACCAACAGGTACAGGAAATATCGGGCTAATTTAAACCCACATATTATTTATTTCAGTGTATGATTAGTTTTCCAAGAATATTGAGTCCAGTGCCATAATTTTGTATATAGTCACAGCATTCATGTATTTTTTGGTAGAATGAGTCATGGAACATTTAGCCTTAACACTAATTATAAGCGGTAAATCAGGGAATTAAGGTTCAGATACTATGAAGAGCTATCATATTTATTCTTCATCCATATCACAATGTTCAATAAATGTACTGAAATAAAACCACTCATTTTCCTAGAGTTAATATCAAAAGTAGAAGTATTTCTGAGATTGAAGATACTGATTAAAATAACCAAAGTTTAGGGGTTATAAACATATGAATAACGTTTTAAGAACTTACCTCAAGTTTGGAAGCAATGAATAAAGAGGTAATTCCAATGAGTTGAAGCATGTTTTTATTTATATCCTTTTGTGTCAACATAAATCTATCAAAAAAGTCTTGCGCTAGATAAAATGTTTCCCTATGAAGTGTATATACTTCACATACCTAGAGAAGAATTCAAACATTTAAATAGTAGCCTCTGAGTTTCTCCAGATTAGAAATTACTCTGTCTACCAAATTTTGGAATATTATTATTCCTTATTTTTCTTGTTAGGATTCCATACATAAGACAGGAGGGGGAAAATACTGTGGTTAACTAGTAGAGAAAAAAAATTAACATCTTCATTAACTCTTACTACTTTTAGTCCCCCCCCCATCTTTTGAGACTGATTTTTCTCCTCTAAAACTAAGGTAAAACTAAGGTAATATATTTCATATTTGTATTTCTAGACAAAAAGATACATTTATCTGGTTTTATACATAGGATCGTATCTTTAAAAGAAAATATGTTAGACAACCACTGGGAAAAATTAATGTAACAAACAACAAAAAAATAAGCATAATTATGATTAAGTTGTTTCCATGATCACCTCACCGAAAAGTTAATAATCTTTCTTAGATTGTATCATCTCTATGTTAAAGATATGGAAACAGCAAATAGTCAAGGGTTAGAGGAAAACTATTGTGTCATTAACATAATCATTCCCTCAGCAATCTTAGAGATTTAGAATTATCTGGAGAAACGGCATGGACCTAAAAGCACCAGAAAATTCTAGCACAGACATAAAGGGAGCTCAGGATCACTTTTGTTCTTTAAGTTATTGGTTGTGTATTTCTGAAAGGAATAGAAGTATGTAACAAAAGGGAGCTACATGGGGCCCAGAAAACATAGTGCTTTGGCTATTCAATGTCTATAAAGTTTAGGCTATAGAACTCAAGATTCCAAATCAGATTTTGGTGATACAGAAGGGTTCTAGAGCCTAGTCTTTGTACAACAAAAATGAAAACATTGTGAGCTATATACAGTGTGTTCTTCCTGAGTATACTTGGCATTTAGAGCAGTTCTGGTACCCAGCAATACCCACAGGTAAAAGGAATTTTGAATCGGGTTTGGGTTGTATAGGATGTAGATGCTTATTCTTATATTACTTTTGTAATGAGCACTATTCCATTTTGGTACCATTAACTAATGTAAGATGGCTGCTGACAAGGAGTAATCTACCTTGAGGGTGTGTGGAAAAGCACATTTACATCTAAATATTTTTCCAGACAAAGGAAATTTATATTGCTGTAACATACCTCTAAAAGCCAGTCTAGAAGTATTGACCTCATCTGTGGTTCCAGATCAGAATGAAGAACTTCAAAATGTTTGTCATGAATATATCTTGTCTCTTTTTTTAACATGTTTAGCCAAACATCCTTTGAACACCCCCAGCTATGGAAAGGGGGGAAATTAATTTGATTATCTACATCATATACAAGCTATTTGTTTTATATCAATTTGACTTTCAAACACTGAAATCCAATTTTCAGTTACAATTTGAAAGGACTCTTAAGTTAGAAAAAAAATTGCTAATTTGTAGAAACCACTTTTTCCCCTAGAATCTTTGTTTAATTAGTTCCAACTTTAGACATTAGTAACTATTATAGAAGAAAATTAGCACAACTGTGTAGTAGAAACCATTTGTTTAGCATACTAAAGTAGAAGCCTAAAATTATACAGTTAGAAAGTAGAGTATAATAATCTAAAATGACAAATTTCAAGCATGTGTTCCAGTTACCATTTATAATTTACTAAGGTTGCTACTGAGAAACACTAAAAAGTTAAATATATGATTCAGTTCCGGTAAGTTACAGTATTCAGCAAGAAAATGAAAATAATTTTATAGAATCAAAGTTAAATACTCATGATTAGCAAATTGTACTAACTCAAATAAAATTGTATGATTAAATATTAAGGAAAACAATTTTTACAAGTTTTTGATCTTATAGTGAAGCCAAAAGATAAAACAGTACCACATATTAAAGTAGCACCACTGTAATTACTGATATAAAATTTCTTAAATTTTTCTTACCTTAAATCAGGCAAAGGTGAAGGATTAATGAAAAGATTTTTAAATCTGTAATTTGTAAATCTGGAGAAGTCACTTGTTCCTATTTCTTTGTGTGGTGTTTCAATGATAATGCAAGGACTGATTCCCCCAGATAATACAGGTGGCCAGCAATTCTGTTGTTGAAAAATAAAAATAAAGAATATTTGTGCAAAAGGAAACCAGCTTTTGTCCTGGATCTTTCATGAAAGTCACTTTAAGATTATAAAACAAGCTCTCTGTAGTCAGCAGTCACGGCAGGGGCACTTTGCTTGAGAGCCTTCCTTACACCCTCCCTTCAGTTTAAATCTACACTTCAGAATACCTGAAGGCAAAACCTTACAAACTGAATCAGTTACTTAAAGGACTCTTCCCAATCCGTGCTGATTTGCAAGAGAAATGATGTCTTTAAAGTGTTTTCTGTATATACACAGGCAAAGTATGTGCAAAGAATAGGTAGCAGGCTGTCAGTGACCTGGCATCCTATTTTAACGCCCAAGAAGCAGCTATTAGGGTCCTCCGCTATAGTCACAAACCGAACAAAGAGCAGTGGATGAACAAATTAGGCAGCTGGGCTCTGGTGCACTAGCCAGCTCAGGAGCGGGATTTACAAAGAGAGACCAGCTGCTTCAAGGCAGACTTAACTCACAGCCTTAGGATTCTGGCTTCCACAAACCTAAAGGTAGGTGTGTTCCTGCTGACCTCTAGAGGCGTTGAAGTGTCAGAAAATATTTTCTATTGCAAAGCAGTAGCAATTTTTTCTTCCTTGTCCTGCATGTTTCTCCCAAGCCCACCCAAGCTTAGTTCTGCATTACCCTAATTTCATACTGATGTTTCTTGGTGATCTCTTCTTTCCTTTTATTGACATCCTGCAAAATAGAAGAAACGTTTTTAAGCTAAGATACCAGCAGGGAATTTCCTCTCCTCTCCCTCTTCCCCAAACTCACCTGGGCTGTTTTTCTCTTCTTGGCCTGAATTAATTGGGTTTCTTGTGGAGAATCTGTCTGACTGGGCTGGGGCTGCTGCTTAGCTTGTAAACGGCTACTATAGTGATTTTTTAAAAGGAAGTTTAATTAGTAAGTCGTGCGTTTCAAAGTTAGCCACTAACTGAAATGTCTCCAAGACAAATAATGTTACCTGCGTCTTGACATTCTCCTCTCTCTTCTCTCAGGTGTATGAAACTTCTTGGGGGGGGGGGAGGGGGAGAAAAGAAACGAGTAAAAATGCATCGCCAAGTTGACGCTAATTCGGGGGTCACAGTTCAATCTGAGTACCTGGCCTCCGCCATTTATCGTGCTGTATCCTGCGCTTTATTATACCTAGTTATTAATTTTGGACATATGTCTGCAATTCTTCAACTGAATGTACAACCAGGATGCAAGTTTAAAATTTTACAAAGCACCAGTACCCCTAGCGCACGGAGGGGCGAATGTTACCCAAGCAGGCCTATTCTGCGCTCCCCATTCCTTGGTAAACCCAGAGTGGGGCTTGGGCTGCGCCCCCATTTCCTCCCCCTTTCTGGACTCGCCGGGCTGTGAGGGGTTGTGGAGGCGAGACCGCTTCCGCGCCAATTTGGAGAGCGGCGGTGGAAGCAAGGGGCGGAGGGAACTAAGACTGTGTCACGTCTTCCCGTCTCCTTTCCCTCTTTCCCAGCCCCACCGGGCCCTGCGGGTCTCTTGGAGGGGCACCGGGCCCCCAAACTCAGATGCCAGTAAGGGAGAGAGGGAAAGAGTTAAACAAGGGGGGGAAACTGGGACACTGAACTTTTCGGCAATTTTTAACCTCCGAGGAGTCCCAGGTCCACATCGTCTCCCCGGGGGGCTAGCTCCCCAAATTGAGTGGGAAAGAGAAGTCTCTAAAGTGAGGGACTTTTCGGCGGACTCCCACTTTAAGGGCAACCCTCCATGCCCCGCCACCGATTCCCCGGCCCCCCGCCGAGAGTACTGACAGGGACGGAACGCGGAGACCCAATCCCCCCAGGCCGCCCAGTTCTCAGCCCTCCTACTGTTCCTCCCCCGGGATGCATCGGCCTAGTGGGGTGGGGGTGGGGGGTTTTCCTCCCTCCCGCAACGCGCCCAACACCCCGCGTCTCCTCACCACCGGACCCGCTACCGCTCGGCTCTCAGCTGGCGCCGGCGCCAACCCAATATATAGGCCGGGCCAGGCCCGCCCTGCACGCATGCGCCTGAGACTGACACCTTCGGACAGTGCGCCGCCCTCCCCCACCACGGGTAGGCCTGTGCACCGTGCCCTCTCCTCAGTCCGCGCGGTCCCACACCTAGGAGCCGCTAGGCCAGCACGCCTAGGCTCGCAGTCCACCTTCACCTGCGCTCGGTTTCACCAGCCTGTGCAACCCAGGGCGGGAGAGAGTCTCTCAGAGGCTCCTCCTCCGAGACCCTCTCGGCGCCGCTGGGCTTCCGCATTTCCCGCCAGTTCGTCCCTCGGCCCTCCCGCCTTCAGCTCCCGGCTCGCGGTTTTGTGATGCCGCGGCTCAGCCCCGGCCTTCGGCCGCGTGGACGCAGCTAGAGTGAACATGGAGTGTCCAAGAAGTGGCCGGCCCGTGGCCCACCCGGGCGGTCCCCCCAAGGCCTCAGGGAGCCGGGTTCTTTCCAAAGGGACGCGGGGACCTGCAGGGCCCGCCCCTGCGGGAGGAGCGCAGCTCCGGCCGGCGAGCTGGCCAATGGGAGGCCAGGACGGCGGCACAACGTGGAGCGGCTGCAGAATGTAAACACAGCCCGGCGCGCGGCTGACACGTGCGTCCCGCGCCCGCGGGGCTGCAGGTCTGGAGCCACCAGGGGCCCACGGTGGCACCCAGAACAGCCGTGCTTGGGAGAACCTATATGTGCGTTGCGCGAGTCCTCCGACCAAGGTACGTAGCGACCGTTTTCGCGCTTCCCCCGGGTTGCTCAGTCCGTGGGTGCTCGGTTCCTACCCGGACGCCTCCCACCGCTAGTCCTAGCGGAGGGAACGTTGGCGCTTGCCGCGCCCTCGCGTTTTTCTCCCCAGTTCCCGGGTCTTTCCTGAGTGGCAAGGGGGATGGCGTTCCCCTTCCTCTCGGGAGCAGTGGCCCGCGG